AAAAGACCAAACAAACCAGCAAATTGATGGTTCTCAGCTACCTGTAAATATGATGCAACCACAGGTGAATGTAATTCCACAACAAATGAATGCCCAGCACCAGCCTATGAATATCTTCCCATATCCTGTGGGTGTTCACGCCCCTGTGATGAACATCCAGCGCCATCCCTATAACATTCATCCTCAGCTGCCTGTGCATCTGCACACAGGAGTGCCTCTCGTGCAGGTAGCCGCTCCTCCCACTGTCACTCAGGGATTGCCACCGCCACCGCCACCGCCACCGCCCTCCCAGCAAGTCAACTACATAGCTGCACAGCCAGATGGAAAACAACTGCAGGTAAGTTTGATCAAGATAATTATCAACTGGGTGGGGGGATTTAGCTCAGTGGTTCTGCTGCCTGCCTCACAAGCACAAGGTTCCGAGTTCAATCCCTGGTACCAAAAAAAAAAAAAAGATAATTATCAACTTTCAGCTGTTAGGGGCAGATGTCCAAGAAAGGGCTCCCTAGCATCCAGAAATAGTTGTTTGATTATATTCATGGTAAACTGTCATAATTCCTTTTTCATTATCCTTTTCCAACCCTTACCCTAACCTCTAAGCAAGAATATTGAGTATATATGTTTACAAAGTGCAATCTACACATGTTACCATTCATATCCAGACATGATTTTTATCAGATTAAGAAGACCACATTATTAATACAGGTATAGTGGTTTATGCCTGTAATCCCAGGACTCAGCATACTGAGGCACGAGAATCTCAAGTTTGAGGCCAGCTTGAGCTTCATAACGAGACCCTGTCTCAACAAAAAGAAAACTAAACTAAAACTAAATATAAGACCAAATTATGAGTCAAACTAAAATTGAGTGGAGGATGCTTAAAAGCTTTACCTGGTTTTCTTGGACTTTGGGGGCAGTGTGGTAGGAACTAGTGATTAACTGCTGTGCTAAGGCTTGCATTGTCTTGCTTGGGCAAATGCTTTAGAGAGCTATTCATTATGCATTATCATGTGTGTTTCATTTTCATGAACTTAATATCTTAGGAAGAAAGCAATACCTTAGTTAATGTTTCTAAAGAGCCTTGCAGGAGAGAGAGAATCCTTTAAACGCTGTTCTTGTCTTGGTCGCTTTTAGTGTTGGTGTGAGAACATTACAATGCACATAATTTAAAATCATCTTGATATGTTTAAATGAGGCTCTGTTCCAGAATGTTACTCACTATTCTTCAAAGAACTCTTTATATATAAATGAACTGATAGATATATGTTTCTCTCAAATACTAACAGTGAAATTGTGTGTTTTTTTAACGTTATTTCTAATACATGACTAAAAGGAAGTTATTCATTAACTCACAATAACTCTTTAAAACAGGGTATTCCTAATGCTTCTCATGTAAGTAATAACATGAGTACACCAGTCTTGCCTGCTCCGACAGCAGCCCCAGGAAATACGGGAACAGTTCAGGGACCAAGTTCTGGTAACACTTCGTCATCGAGTCACAGCAAAGCCTCTAATGCTGCTGTAAAATTGGCAGAAAGCAAAGTAAGTGTTACAGTGGAAGCCAGCGCAGATAGCTCGAAGACAGACAAGGCAAGTTCAAGGTCGACAGTACCCTACATACCTACATAACTCTGTGTATGTTATAGGTGGTGAACTGGCCACTTGCTTACCTTATTAGTGGTGAGGGGAATTTATCATTGGTAATCTTAAATGCTCGTATTATTTAAAGTGTTCGATCTAGATCTATTGATGCTCAGTGAGTACTGGTAATACTGCATAGTTATTTTTATAAACATTTGATATATATGTTATTAACTGTTTTGGAATTGTCATATTACTGGCAGTATATGGAGAGCTCCTTGTAATGTCAACACAAAATTTGAATTTCATATTTTTAAAGAAAATTTTTTAAAGTATGTGGTAAATAATTACACATTTTCTTCTCATCAGAAATTACAAATTCAAGAAAAAGCAGCACAGGAGGTAAAACTGGCGATTAAGCCATTTTACCAAAACAAAGATATCACCAAGGAAGAATATAAAGAGATTGTACGGAAAGCAGTAGATAAAGTAAGTTACAGCTTTTGTGGAGTTATGTGCGTATCGTTTTGAACCACTTCTGTTTTAATAAAAAAAAAGTTTAAGTTTAATTAATAAAACCTAGCTTCTACTAATTCTTGTCTGCTTTTTTACCATTTGAATAAGTCTGGCTATCTCTTTGGGGGTTTTTTCACAAAGCTTTCCATTTTACTTTAATTCTTTTAAGCATGAAAAAAGTTTTCCTCCCTTTTTTCTTAGGTTTGTCATAGTAAGAGTGGAGAAGTAAATTCTACTAAAGTGGCTAATCTGGTTAAAGCCTATGTAGACAAATACAAATACTCACGGAAGGGGAGCCAAAAGAAAACTGTGGAGGAGCCTGTGTCTGCTGAAAACAACGTAGGCTGAGATGAGGAACGCTGTAAAGGACATCATCAAGACACCTGCGAAGTGCAATTTCAACATGACCATCAGGAGAAAGTCATGCACAACTGTGACTGAAATTGGTTTTGATAAAATTATTTTTTTTAATGTAGGCTAGGCTGTTTTGTTCTAAATAAATATAATTCTGCACTGCAACTTCCATATCCACACCCTCACCTCCAATAAATAAATTCAAGAGAAAGTAAAAGGTTTAAAGGAATGTGCATTTTTTACTAGAACTGTGTACTCATGTGGATTCTGGAAGGTGTTGTACAGCTTTTTGATTTGACTGTAGGGTTATAACAATGGGGTGCATAAATTAGAAACTTCTACGTGCACTGGCTTTGGAAGAGATATATGTATAATACTTTTATTCTGTCAGACTAAAAAAAGTATGAACTCTGACTTTCTTCCTCTAATTATAGAAAGTTAAATAATGTATTACCATGAAAAATATTTCTAATAAATAGAACATACCCAATTGCAGGGTTCCTAATGTGTATTTTTAAAGCACATATCTGCTTAGATAGAAAATAAATTATCACTTGAATAAAATTTAGTGTTCAAAACTTTGAGAACTCTTCACCTATGTGTCACCAAATAAAGGTTATGCTGCTGTTTTTCTTTTGTGCCTTTTTTTCCCCCAGTTGAGATTAAGCAGTTTGATTTGCTAGATTATGACTTAGGCAGTTCAAAGTCATTGAATTTAGAAGACCAATTTGAAAACGTGTTGACTTTGTAAAAATTATGTTCTTGCATCATATCTTTTATGAAATGATAAATTATTTGTGCCAAGTGGACAGATGTTTAGTGGGAACCCTCCCTTCCTTGGGACTAAGGTAGAAATTCCAAGACTGACTCACTGGCTTCAGATTGTTGCTCATCTTATCTAGTCACTTGTGAAATCTTTCCACATGTGAAAAATCCCCAAATGCTTTACAGCACATGTAGTGTTAATTTGATGACCATATCATAGCCATTGGTCATGTTTAAAATTCTAGATATTAAAACCTGTGCTTGACAAAGGGAGAGGAGAATTAAGTAGTGGAGTTTTTTTGTTTGTTTGTTTTGTTTTTGTTTTGGTACTGGGGATCAAACTCGGGTCCTTTCCTTGCAAGGCCAGGCAGCAGAACCACTCAGCTAAATCCCTGGTCCCAAGTAGTGGAGTTTTGATTAGGCTTCCAAGGACTAGGGATTCGGTTACTTTTTGAAAGTACATTTACAATCTGTTAATTTTTATAAAAGGTAAGTTTAAAATGTTTATAGCACCTTTACTTGGCATCTAGAAAGACAAATGAGTTCTTTCCATGATAAGCTATCTTTCATTCCAGTAGTGATTTTCACTAGATACCAAATAACTGGAATGGTATTAAGATAACATGTTAACAGATCCAAGGTAAATCAGCACGACTTGGTGATACAGATCCTTTTACTCACTACTAGTGAGAGCAATAATTGGTGGAACTGCTTTTATAAAGTTAGAGATTATCCCTTTCTCAGTTTTTTGTGCATAATACTTTCCTGGTGCTAGGTTTGATAGACAAAATATTTTGAAATGTTGGACCCCATGGTGATTGTGCTTTGTTAATAAGCTTTGTTAGGTTAGGATTGGGATCCTACAAAATTTTCAAGCAGTTTTTAATCTTCATTCTACATTTCTGGGTGTTTGTAATATGGTATTTTACTTAAAATATATATATATTTTTAATTAAAGTTTGTGTTCGGATTATGGGGAAAGAGGTTTAGAAGTATGTTTGTTCTAATGAAGTATTGAGACAGTTTTAAATATCAGTGCACACCTCCGGAGTTGTTTCAGTTTCGAATTCCATAAACTGGTGTGAACTTGCAGTCTATTTTGAATTAAAGCTGGTTCACGCTTTGAAATTTTGTGGCAAATTGCTGTGCCTGAGCTGATAAATCACACAATTCATGCTTTTCCTGCATTTTAAGTGACATTTGGGAATTGAGTGACTTAAAAATGTATTACCATTCAGCTTTTGCAACAAGGTTTTAAAGTTTTGAATAAAAGCTAGGTGATGTGGTGAAGAGTTAAAAGCCCCGTAAATTATTTTCATCATTCTCAAAAATAACAAGTATGTTTGCCATATCTGATTGGTGTACTGGTTGGACTGTATTTAAAATTGTTAATGAAGAATGTTGCTGGGTTAGAATTTAAATTTTTAAACTCTGAACTGTGTAAGAATGAATTAGAAAATGCATGCTTTACGTTTTTAAATACATGGCTTTAACATTGCCCATTCCCCCCCCCCCCGAAATTCACAATAATTTTGCATGTGCACAAACTTAATCAGAAACAGTTTTGGGGGCTACAGATTCCTTTTTTCTTTATCAGGATTCAGTATTGACCTTTGACCTTTGAACCTTGGTCCCTTTTTACTTACTAGTCACATTGACCGATGTTTTAGATTATAGAGATAACCTAGAATTTTGAGACTAATAGTAGTTAGCCGTTATTTTAACATTCCAAAAGTTTTGTAATTTTTGTTGAGTTCTGCTTACCACATTTTCTGCATTATTTTCCTTTAAATGACTGCACTGTGTGCTGCTTCAGTGTTTCATCCAAAAGATGTAGTTTCAGTGGTTGCCCCAGGGTCTGAAACATTGTAGTAAGAGGTTGGAGTGCTGTCTACTGAAACATACTCTTAAATATGTAGTGTGTAATATTTTCTAATAAATCCTTTTGATAAACAAAGTAGTGTCTTTAATATTGTATCACTAAGGTTTCTGGGAAATGATGACTTTTACTTTTATCATAACCCTTTTAAAAACACATGTCGATGTATTTCAGTCATGAGTGTCATAGTTATATTAGTGTCCAGGCTCCGATGCAAGCGTACAGTTTGCTGTCATATTTTAACAGCATTTTTTCCTAAGTACATCACCATTGTAGGAATTTAGAAAAATTGGTAAAAGAGGGAAGAGTTTCAAAAACAAAAGGAGAGAAATCACTTGTAATTCTTCCAAAGGTTTCCCAACTTACGTTGCTGATTAGACTTCACATAACTATCCTTTTCTTTTTGGGTGTATTGAGAATTTTTCATTTTAATAAAAACTATTGTACAGAATAACTCAATGGCCATATTCTGTTTTGGGGTTTTTTTTTGTGTTTTTTTTTTGGTACTGAGGATCAAACTCGGGACCTTGCACTTGCAAGGCAGGCACCAGAACCACTGAGCTAAATCCCTAGCCTGGCCATACTCTATTAAACAGGTGTTCTCTTTTAAAATAATCCTCTATTGTTGGGAATTAAGTTTTTGCAGCACAGATTTTTACTAATACACAGGTGTATTGTTTTGTCTACTGTGCCCTCTTGTGTTTTCTATTTATTTCGGCATTGGTGCTGGAGGTGGAGTGCAGGGCCCTGAGCCTGCTAGGCAAGTGCTCTGCCCTGAGCCATCCCCCAGCCGCTCTTTATGTATTTATTTTGGTACCAGGGATCAAACACAGGACCTTGTGCTTGTGAGGTAGGTGTAGCACAACTGAGCTAAATCCCTGGTGCCCCTTTTTACTTTTTAATAGCATTCCTGTGTTTGCTATTTCTAAGGTATTAAACCTTTAACCTTGAAGCAGTTTGTAATGAATTCTTTGCTCTTACAACCTGGTTTCCATGCCCTGGTGCTATTTTTTCAGTGCCTAGTTATCGTGTGACCTACTTCAATAGTTTGCACTATTACTTAGATTCTATCTTTACCAGTTCTTAGGCAGCAATGTCCAGTTGCACAATTTTGATTATATTATTCTACATAATTTGTTCTGCAGGTCGTGCCAAGCCTGTGTGTTATATGCTGTAGAGGAGTAAGCAAAACCTAGCTCCCTGTTGCTCTGAATGCTATTGAGGAAAAGATGGGGACATGCTGTACACTTATGTGGGTGCAGAGGGGAGAGCCATGAGTGCTCCAACTTTGTGAGGGATTAGTAGGAGATAGTGGTTGGGGAGGCCCCTGGAAAAGCGACACTTCAACTAAGAACTAGAGTAGTCCAGGAGAGAAAGGGTTAGCAAGCACAGCAGCTCTCTGGCCAGAGGCAGCAGTGGCAACTCGGCCTGGAATGGCTGGAATGAAAGTCGCTAGAAGTTCCTAAGGCACCATACTATGTAGAGAGAGGCTAAACAGGAGGCATTCGATACGATCAGGTTTGCATTTTAAAAGATTCTCCAAAGCCTTTGGGTCAATAAGAGTTAAATCATAGTGTTAAACCTCACAAGTTATTTAAAATTTTATCCAGCTGAAAGGCAGTATGAAAATATACAGTAGCACCTCGGTTCATGAACTTAATTTTTTCCATGATTCTGGTCGCAAACCAAGTTTGATGAGAACCAAATCAAATTTTCCCATAAGGTCAGCATTGAGCCTAACCACTGAATTCTGTTCTCATTCAATTCAGTGGTGACTAGAATAGTGGAAAGAATTAAGTTCGTGAACCAACGTACCACTGCTTTAAAGAGTTTATTAAAAGGGTCGTACACTTTTTTAAAACTCCACATTATTCCTTTGTTGGAAAATTGAAAGGGAGTCTTGGTTCATTCATGTAGTTATTTTGTGCCTATTTTAAGTGTCTGCAGGAGGAAAAATAGGTTGAATAATGTTCCTTTAACATTAAAATAGAGCACAACCCATATATTGTATCCCCCTCCATCTTTTAAAAATAAAAAGACCAAAATAAAAATTACCAACAGAAGTTTTTGGATTTTAGAGGACTTCTCCCTTTACCCTTTGGGCTTCAGATTTCATACAGCGAAGAACAATAGTACGATCCAAAACCACCTTTTCAAAATTTCAAGCATCATTGCTTGGAGTAACTGGACAGGAGAAGGGGCTAGAAGTTGGAGGCTGGCAGCATCTTGCCGGGAATGACCTAGAACTAAATTTGAGCACTCTCATGCCCGGTATGGGCTGGTTCCCCACACAGCTTTCCCAGGAGCAACTTGGGCTCTACTGACAACTGCTGGATGCTGTTCTGGCAGCAATCAGTTCCCACCAGGTTTGTGGGCTAAGAAATCACTCGTACGGAAGTGGCCTTCTAGAGCCGTATCTATTTGAGCATAGTCCTCCCAGTCTTGTGGCCAATAGAGAAAAGAAGCCATGTCTGGTGGTGAGTATGGAGGGTGGAGGCGGGTCTTGGCTTTCGTGCTCTCAGGACTTGGGACCCACTTTGAGCCCAAGTTGCTTATAAAAAGGTGCTGCTTTTACCTCCCTTACAGGATTGCTCAGGGAATAAGTGAAATAACATGCCTTTTGAAACTTTACTTGAGGGACTCTTGCTTGTATAATAAGACTGCCTTTCTCATGTTGGTCTGTACAGTAATTGAAATACAGCTTGTCCAGTGGTTTGCGTATTTCAGGTGGTATAGAGAGCTCTAAAAATGGTACTACTCAGGCCCACCCCATAACTATTAATGTGCCATATGTGAGGATATTTTAAAATTAGGTCTCCTGTGTAGCAAAGGAACAAACCACTATTATTACTTGAAGAGCGCCTACAGATCACAGCTGTTTTAGATAAACATTTAATGAGGTCTTGTCTTAAATCATTTAGATTATATCCCTGTTCAGAAGCAGCAGCAATACCTGTAGCTTGCACAGATACCCCTCCCCCCTTTAAAAAGCTCTAATCTCCTTTTCTGAGCTTAGATCCCACTAAGCACTGCCTTAGTAGCAAAAGTAACCCCTTTGTAGAGAACATGTCCAACATATCTAGGGAGTATAACGTAGTTAATGGTGTAATCACTCATACGAACCCAGTTGGTGTGCTTAGGTTGCTTGATTCAAGTCTTTCATTTACACACTTGCCTAAAGGACTTAAAACTTCTAAAACTGTAGCATTGCTTTTTTTGGAAATCATATCCAGATACATTTTTTCACTTACGCTTTTTTTTTTTTTGGTACCGGGGATTGAACTTGGGTACTTGTGCTTGCACAGCAGGTGGCGAAACCACTGAGCTAAATCCCTGGCCCTTTTCACATACTCTGCATAGCCTGTGGCATATCTTCCTTTGCTCTAGCAAGTAGTCTTGGTGAGGAATTACAACAGCAGTAGATAGCAGTGTTTAATGCTGGCTGTGTGTAGAGAATTTTATCGGTATTATCGCCCTTAATTTTCCTAACAATCCTGAAAGGTAAGTCTTATTAACCATAGTTCCTTCCCAAGGTCACTCAGTCATGACAACTGGATTGCAGGGCTGGGCCCGAGTCCAAAGCCTATGCTCTCAGTCCATCACCTGGTCCACCCAGCTGCTTTTCCTCATGTTTGTGAAGTATGCAGGTCCCAACACTTTCTCATTTAACTCACCTAGCGGTCTGAGCAGCAGAAATGACATCCATATTTCTGTTGCCCTTCCAGAGTAAATGAAGTTCTCATAATCACTTGACCTAGTCAGATATATTCAGCAGGCCACCTTGTCTGGTCCCCTCTTGCAGTTCATCCTTCAGACTTCTAAATGAATTAATTCAATGATACTCAGCTAGATACTTGTCCTGGGCCATGTAATTCCTGTATGCATGCCATCAGCAAACTACACAGCTCTGGCAAAATCTTAATTACAAATGGGGCTGCTTGGTTGAAGGTCAGGAGTGTACACATGGTAAACCATCTCTTGCCCACTCAAACTGAATTCTTCGGAGGCACTCCTGGATGATTCTAAGATTCCTCAAATCAGTTTGCACTGTTTGTGTCCATGATTTTCAGATACTCAAAAGACTGCCCTGTGGCAGTATCTTACTAGATAATAGGGAGAGTTCTGTTCCTAGGTAAATACCTAACACATGTCCACGTGCTTCCAGGCAAGAGTAGAATATTCATAGCATCATTTATAATAGCTCCAAGTTGCAAACAACCTAAATGCCATCAATGTTGAAATACTATTCAGCAATAAAGATAAATACTGCTTCCAATAATAGGTGAGTCTCACAGCCAACCTGAGTGAAAAATGACAGAAAATATAGTCCAGTACTGTATCTTAATTTCTAAAACTGCCAGATATGGTGGTACATACCTGCAATCTCAATATGAGTCAGGGCAGCCTGAATTATGTAGCAAGACCCTGTCTTAAAAA